CATTCCTGTTTTTAGTTTAGTTTTAGAGGATCTCTGGGTCATCGAGAGCCAGGCATGGCTTGATGGAGACAACCGTGCAGCCCGCAGAGCCCCTGGGAGGTGAGCCAGGGGCAGGGACCAGATGGGGCACCCTGGCTCGTCTCCCTTGGGAGGAAGGTAGCGGTGACTGTTAGCTCCCCCTAAAGTTGTTTCTTGGGTCTGATTGTTTTGGCAGCTAGCATTGCCCTAACTCAGGGTTCCTGCACTTTCTCAGCTCATGGTGCTTGCAGTGAATGGCTCAGTAATTTTTTTCACAGCACCTCTTGGTCCAAAGAAACACCTAACACTTCTGTGTATTGTGGCCAAAGAGCTTAATAAGTATTTAGGTACTAACAACTTAGTAGCAGTTTAGAAAACAAACCCCAAACCCCAAACAAACCAACAACACATAAATTGAAAAAAAACTTAATTCTTAGAAACTACAGTTACTTATTAATAGGATATCTGTAACTGTTAGACTCTACACACTTTTTCAAACCTTAATCACATTGGACACTGCCACCTGCATTACCTGATCCATGGGGATTTTTGCCTGGTGTTTGCTTTTTTATTTCAGCAACTGCTGTTAAACCAGCTTTGCAAAGAGGTATCTTAGAAAGGAAAGCAGTGCAATCCAGTATGGAAACTCTGAGTTCAGTCGAATTATTCACAATGTGTCTGGCATGCTCTGTATCCCGTGTTTCCCTCAAAAATGGAAAATACCCTGTAGTGCCCCTGAGAATTCACTGTAGCACCCTGGGGTGCCTCGGCACACAGTTTGGGAACTATGGCCCTAATCAACTCAAGTCTTTGTGTTTCCCTATTCTGTTTCTTTCCACTTTGCATTGTGTTTTATTGTATTTTACTTTATTTTTTTTTGTCGAGTGGCTTGTGGGATCTTAGTTCCCTGACCAGGCATTGAACCTGTGACCTCAGGAGTGAAAGTCCGGAGTGCTAACCACTGGACCGCCAGGGTATTCCCTGTATTGTGTTTTTAAAGCTCCATCCTCGAAGCTGTGTGTACAGCTCTTCACTGCTTCTGCCCAGCGGATAAGGTCCCAGATTCACTACATTTACCATTTCCTACACGTGGACACCCTGGCTGCCTCACAAAAGCCCCCGCTCTTGGGTGGACCTGTGGGAGCAGGGCTTTGGGGTACACACCTGGAGCAGACCATTGAGTTCTCCAGGTGGTCGGTTGGATGTTCCAGTCCATGGTCCCACCAGTTCCTATATCCTCGGTCCCTGTGACCCTCCCTCAGCATGTCCTAGCTTCTGCAGGTTTGCCAGTTGAATAGGCATTAAGTGGTCTCCCAGTTTACTTGACATTACTCTAATCATTGAATTTGACTGTCTTTTCATGCACTTGCTTAGTTTTGGGGCCTTCCTCTTCTGTAACTGGCTGGTCATATCCTTTAATTGTTGGTGTGTGGGGGCGGCTGACTTTCAAAAATTGCTTTGCAGAAGTTCCTTGAAAATTCGAGATATGAATCCTTCACTGTTTTTTTTTTTTTTTTTTTTT